TCAGCACGTACTAAAAAACAGGTAAAGACTGACCCAGGACTCAAACTGCTAAACAGACTGGTAAACACAAACCCAAAAGACTCAAACAGTTAAACAGACTCAAAAGTTAGTCAACACAGACTGAAAAACAGGTAAAGACTGACCCAGGAATCAAACTGGTTTACTCAGACTAGTTAACACAGACTCACACTGGTAAACACAAACAGACTGTGTTGGCTAATTGGTCAACATGTACTAAAAAACAGGTAAAGACTGATGCAGGACTCTTAACTGCTAAGCACGTAAACACAAACCCTGAAGACTTAAACAGGTAAACAGAATTAAGTTAGTCAACATAGATTGAATAACAGGTAAAGACTGACCCAGGAATTAAACTGGTAAACTCAAGAGTAGTTAACACAGACTCAAACTGGTAAACACAATCCAAAATAACTCAAACAGGTAAACAGATTCAAATTAGTAAACACAGACCGAAACAAACAAACAGATAACTACACATCCAAGACTCAGACTGGTAAACACAAGCCAAAAAGACTCATACTGATAACTGACTGTGTTTGCTAATTGGTCAACACAGACTAAAAACAGGTAAAGACTGACCCAAGACTTAAACTGGTTAACAAAGACTGATAAAAACAGGCTCAAACTGGTAAACACAAACCCAGAAGTCTCAAACCGGTAAACAGACTCAACAGGGCCACGGATAACAACAGGGCCAAGACTCAAACTGGTAAAACCGGTCCAATATCTCTGTTGTGGTTCTCTCTCTGTGTGCAGGATAACCGCAGTCTGAAGGAGCAGAACGACGAGCTGAATGGTCAGATCATTAATCTGAGCATCCAGGGAGCAAAGAGTCTTTTTACAGAGTCACTCTCAGAGTCACTCGCTGCCGAGATCAACAACGTCTCCCGCGCTGAGGTCTCTATCACACTGTTATGCTTATGCATGCTATTGATATGAACACTTTGTGATATTTAATGTGTGTTTGTGTACAGCTGATGGAGGCCATCCACAAACAGGAGGAGATCAACTTCCGCCTGCAGGACTACATTGACCGCATCATTGTTGCCATCATGGAGTGCAACCCCTCCATCCTGGAGGTCAAATAATCACCATTGCGACGACCCTGATTTATGAACTGAAACGGGAGGCGAGAGGCATAAAGAACAGACTTGCAGATGATGTGAAGAATCCAATCATTATTTTGATCAAATCATTTAACAATTCCGAGCACTTTTAATGTGAATGAGTGTGTGTGTGTGTGTGTGTGTGTGTGAACGACCTTGTCCTTTGGTTCCTGTGACTTCCCTGTGTTTTGGGATTGAGGCGCCAATTCCCTCTGTGTATGTTCACAATTCATAGATTGAATTTCAGTGTAAGAAACTAGTTTAAGTTACCAGTGTAAGTCTGGTTTAAGCAGTCACACCGTTAGCCCATGTGAGGGACATTTGCTGACCTGAGGGTTGAGCGTGTGCATACGATTAGCTCGTAAACGAGTTTTTGCAGAAAGTTTTCACTTGTGTTTTTTTCTTTAAATTCTTATTTATTAAGATGATGCAGAACGCAAAGGATCAAGGGAGGCCGACGCTCACCAAGGGAGCTTGCAGTGTTGCATTGTGGGTAAGGTAATCAGTCCTGTGCGATTTCTCGCTGAGGATATTCGTCCTCTGTCCTGGATTCTTAACAAAAGACTTTCTGTACAGAAGACACTTTAAATCTCACTGGAAATGTTCATTGCACTCTGATTCATTTTATTTTGAGATAATATTGTTTGCTATTTAAATAGTTTGAAAGAAAATGAGGTGAAGTTGTTCTATCAACGTTGGCGGGAAAAAGAAGCGGGCACTAAAGGGAAATCGAACCGTTGACAGACACGCGGGAAAAAAGACTTTTGCTTCTTTCTGCTTTTCAAAACTCTTTCTGTCTCTCTCTGGTGAAATTTGGTGTAAATATCGATCTAGAACGTTTGTATTTTTCGTTCTTTGAATCGTATTTGTATGTACAAATGGAATTAAGATTCCGTTTCATTTGTCTTCCACTTGACCGGTCTCTTTTCGTCTGTTCCAGCAGCACACCATTATGGAAGTACATCCCTCTCATCCGGCACAAGCATGTTTGATTTGTATCCCACGCTGCAGTTCACATTTTTCTTTTCCCTCTGGTTTTAAGACCCGTCCGATCAGTTTTTCTTATAAGACGATGCTGGAGAACATTTGAAGACGATTCCGCTGCTGTCACGTCTGTATGGCTGTTTTAAAGCTACTGTAATGATACTGATGGACCTTAAAGCGCGGGAACTTTGCTTCTGTAAACTTTTGAATACACGTGCGTTTACCGCCGGCTGCCTCGTTCCTTAATTTCCTTCCAGAGACAATAAGGAAAGACCTGAATCTACTGCTCTTGACCTGTCTGATGTTAAACAGCTGTTTTCAGTGTCCAAAGACAGCATTTCACCGCTTAGAAGGAGTTCTGCTTGCCACTTAGACTTTAAAAGACTAATAATAGTTATAAATACATGTTAATAAAACAAAAAAGTACTCCTCGTAATGGAGAATACAATTGTAAAAAAAAAAAAGTTGACTAATTGTTAAGGTTACTGTATAAATGAAAGATATCAGTATTGTCTTCTGTTGAATGTTTTGCTTTCTTTTGAAGATGCCCCTATAAGATGTATCTTTTACAGTTCGGGGTCTTAAAGATTTTCAAATAATTGTATGAAGGTTAAAAGAAAAGTGAAAATAAAATGAGTCACCAATAAATTAAGTACAAATAAGTTCTTTGTGGATGTTTCTTTTTTTTTATACTTCACTGAACCTACTTCACATGAACACTAGAATAGAATAGAACTTAGTCCTTATGCTTAACAATATCAGAAAGACATACTTTTGGGCCTGTGTTAAGTTGTAACACTACAAAATTACACATCCATGTACTTTTTTCAGCAAATTATGCAAATAAATGAGAAAATAAAATGGAAAGACATTTTAAAAAGCTGATGCGATAATTGAAATCCCTTGGCGTGTGTTATTTATCCACCTTATTTTGCTAAATTTTATTTTTTATTTATTAGACGCTTTTATCCAAAGTGACTTACAAATGAGGACAACAGAAGCAATCAGTTGTAGTATTAACACAACTAAAAACAGATCCAAAACTAAAAGCTGAAACTTTATAAATACTACCTATACACATTTTAAAAATAAAGAGATTAAATAAAAATGACAAATGCATACAACAAAATTTCAAAACTTAACATTTAAATGAAAAACAAAAAATAAAGCTAAAAACAATTCAAAATATTAAAGAACAAAAGGTATGAGTATAATAATGATTCTAACATAACACTAAGCCAAACACCAAAAAAACAACCACACACACACACACACATACACACACACATATATATATACATACACATTTATAAATTCAATATATATATTATTTCATTTCCATTTAGTTTGTTGAAGTATTAAAATAACTCAAATTAAATAAAACTAAAAACTTAATAAAAGACCTATACAGACATAATAAATTCAGACATAATGCAACTTAAATGAAAATAAATAACTAATACAAATCAAACGACAGTAGTTTATCAGTAATCCTAAAAAATAACACTGCCAAACACACATGCTAAAAAACAACAACTTACACACAGTAAGAAATGGTTATAAAAACTGAAACAGAAGCGAAACAAGTAATAGGAAAATAAATAACAGCTAAATAAAGTGCCACAAATCAGTGTGTTTATGATAATAAATTAAAACAATATTACAACAAATATATAATTTTGCAATATCAAGCAGCATGACCGGTTGTTTCTGTACAAGTAAAGTAACCGGAAGCTAATGGCACCGGAAGTCTCGTCCATTCACTTTACAAATGGCCGCGCCCGTCATTACATTAACATCAAGGTGAATTAGCAGACAAGTTTGCTTAAAATAATACTGATCAGTTGCTTATTTTCACAAGTCACATGGGTTCGGTTTAATTCAGTCCTATTATCAACTAAAGGCCGTTGCCCGTTATAGAATACATATGTAGTGCATATAGCAGTTAATGTTTCAGTAAATCGTACAGATGTAGGTGATTGATTAATTATGTTGATAATATAATATCATCAGTATTTATACTGTTTGTTCACATGTAGAAATAAAAAGGAATTTGGGAAGTACAAATGCCTTTGTAAGGATTGATTAACTTATTCTTGATGAACTTGATAATAAATTAACGAACAAAAAGTGATTAACTATGAACTAGAATGCAACAAGCCTAAGAGGGTTTACGTGTCCTGTAGCGCCATCTAGTGAACTGGTATGGAACTGAGTTACCGGTAGGAACGTTTGTTCTGTCGATGTGCTTCTACACGGACACGTATTAGAGCACAATCACGTGGCGTTATGTCAACACGACTGACGCTGCCAGATATTTCATGACTTAATATAACGGAACTAAAATTATAACTTGTTTAAATCGGCAAGTATGTTTACTATATAGCTATAAACATATTAACATGCTATTCATATAGGGTATATATAGTTATCCCATGAGGTGTTGCAGTTCTGCAGCTTTAATACATTACTGTAAGTCAACAACTGCATCTTGTGTATTCATTTAAAAGATTATATGTGACTCTGGAGCACAAAACCAGTCATAAGTAGCACGGGTATATTTATATTTGTAGCATTGTATGGGTCAGAATTATCGAATTTTCTTTTATGCCAAAAATCATTGGGATATTATGTAAAGATCATGTTCCATGAAGATATTTTGTAAATTTCCTACCGTAAATATATCAAAACGTAATTTGTGATTAGTAATATGCATTGCTAAGAACTTCATTTGGACAACTTTAAAGGCGATTTTCTCATTATTTAGATTTTTTTGCACCCTCAGATTCCAGATTTTCAAATAGTTGTATCTCGGCCAAATATTGTCATATCCTAACAAACCATACATCTAGCTTTCAGATGATGCATAAATCTCAATTTTAAAAAATGGACCCTTATGACTGGTTTTGTGGTCCAGGGTCACGTATGACATGGAGGTTCATATGACCAGCCTTCGTCCAGCTGCCCAATGTATGCACGGATATTTTATTTATTAAGTTGCAAAAGTGATGCTGCATTAAACTGAATCTTCAGCCAAGCATCGGTTCTGTGACATCATGGGCTCGTGCTTGAGGACTCTCTCCACCTCACGAGACTCCGTGGAGATCATGCATGCGCTGGTTCAGCAGGTGGTGTGAAGATGAGGAGATCAAGAAGCTCTGGGATGAGATGTTCCTCAAGGGTCCAGCGGACCAAACACTGCTGCTTCTGCTGGACACCATCAGCTCCACAGGGTGTGACATCACGATCTATCTATCTGTCTGTCTATACTAATGATGTGTTGTGTCTCTTTTACACACAGAGAGAGTGCGGGTCTGGAGCGATGTGCATCTGTACTGGAGACCTTCCTCTCTGCTGGTCGTCCTCAGGTGGTGTTGTGGTCCAGATGCGAGGTTGGCGGAGCCTATTCAGACTCTCCCCAGCTAAGAGAGACCATTGTCATCGTCCACCTTGCAGCTTTGCCCTCCATTACCTGCAACCATCTGCATGCAAGCAAACACACCTGACGCCTTCCTACCACAGCAGTACTACCCGCTGCTGGCCGCCAGCATACTGGACACACTGGAGAAGACATGCCACGCTCTCAGAGGTATCACACACATTCACATACACTTGTAAATAAAGGAATAAATAAAGCACATGCTTAAAGCATCATTGCATCCACTTCGTATTTTAATGCATAATTGCAACCGCCACATATGTAAAGCATCACTGCAACCACTGCATATTTTAAAGCGTTATTGCAGAATAATTTACAGAACCATTGCAACCACTACTTTTTTTAATGCATCACTGCAATCACTGCTCGCATGTCAATGCATCATTGTAATCCCTGCATATTATGCGTTATATATGGATGTATCATTGCAGCCACAGAACATTTTCATACATTGTTGCAACCACATTCTGTTTTAATGCATAATTACAACCCCTGCATTCTTTAATGCATCATTACAGCCACTGCAGATTTGAATGAATCCTTATAACCACTGCAGATTTGAATGGAATCTTTGATGAATAGAAAGTTCAAAAGAATATTATTTGTTTGAAATTTAACATTATAAATGTCTTTATTGTCACGTTTGATCAATTTAATGCAACCTTGCTGAATAAAAGTATTGACTTCTGTTTTTTTCCCGTTTCTCCTTAAATTCAGACTCCGTTGTTAAAGTCTGTTCTTGGTTATTTGGCTCTGGATTTAGAGCGCAGGACACTGCTTAAACAGGTATGATGATGGTCTGTTGTGTTAGTAGTTGTCCTGTATTTATTCTAATAAGTCATTTTTGTATGTAATGCAAAAGAAGTTGTTTAAGAGAAGTTGTAACTGGTGTGTGTAGGTCCTTTGGAGTGTGTGTCAGGTCAGGTGTAAACGTCTCTTGAACAGCAGCTGTACGTCAGTAAAGTTCTACTGCTGTGTGTAGCGTCACTCAACCATTCTGAAATACAAGAACTACGGCATGGTAATGCACACGCATACATTCAAATGCATTTTTGATTTACAGCTGCAGTTTTCTGGTGTATCATGAGGTTTTCTGTCCAACAGAGATGCTGCAGTGCATGCTGGGAGGTGTCCAGTGTCGCCTGGACAGCAATATTGAGCGTATTCGACGGATGGGAATGGCTGTGGGCGAGTATCTCAGTCACAAATCAGACACAGCAGGATCAGAATTAAGCCATTTGGACCTTTAAACATTGTTCTTTACAATGAAAACCTCTTGTGATGATGCATTACTGATCCGTACCAAACCTGAAAGCATCTTGCATTTGCAACTAACAAAAGTTTCAGATGCGCCCATCACATTTCTATTACTACAACTGTGAACTTGAGATATTTGTTTCATTCTTTAACTCTTTCAATGCTAATGAAGCTGTTTTATGTGTCAGTGTGAGCCAGATGAGGAGATCAGAGAGCTGAAGTCATGAACAACACCAGCCTGATACCTCCACCAGGTAAAAATGCACACTTCACATCAGTATTTTGTTGACTGTACATTTTTTTAAATCATCTGAAACATGCTGCAGCGTATATTCCAAAGCAACTTACATAATGCAATTAATGTCAAGCATGGAAAACATCTGGATTCATACGGCATAAAAGTTTATTTGTGTGGCACATTTCCCACGTTCACTTTAAATAAATTTGTTTAGTCTTGGCATTTATAATTAATGTTATTTATAAGGAATGCCACTATAATTTGTTTGTTGTATACTATTATACTACTATTTTTCATTCCTGTTCTGAATACCTTTCAATTTAAAGGATTTTTTAGTGAAGTTAGCAGAACTAAAGTGCATATTTTATTATTGTTTTTTAGTCATTGATATATAATCACAAAATGTAGGCCGCTCTACAAACAAGCGCAGCAAGCCTGAAATTTGAATTTGCATTTTATACATCAATTTAGAATCAGAAAAAATTACAATTTGATTTATTCCCCAAATAGTGCAGCCCTATTAGGAGTGATGCGCACTTCATCTAATCGCTGATGTTTTTGCTCGGGTTGCGTCTCAGATGGGCCGAGCTTTGCTGGATTTAGTTTGGGCCGTGCGCTTCCTCACTGACCAGTAAGTTTGTGTTCTAGGATGCATTATATCACATGCCTACATCTAATGCTCTCTCTCTGGCTTTAACTGTAGGATGGTGCGGAGGGGCGTTATGTTTGCGGTTTGTGCTGTGTTTCTGAGCATGCCTGCTGAGAACTTCCTCACAGAACTCGGTGATGACCTGATGGAGACCAGAGCCTGGCTAGCAGGTACACAGTGCTCGTTTGACTCTGTATGTGTTTGAGTATGTATATGTTATTCATAAATGTCTTAATATGTGGCAGAGAATGACTGCGACGCAGACTGCAGGAGTTTGGCGGTACAGAGTTTAATGCTGCTGGACAAAAACCTCAAAACGCAGCTGCAGATCCCAGATATGGAGACCTGAGGAGCGCTGACAATATCTCGCACTCATCTGGAGAAGATTTTATGATCATGACATGCATCCCTAATTACTATGGCATTGTTCCTTGGATTTCACGTATTGTGTTATTTTTGTACTACTAATGTTTAGATACTGTAAAATAAAGAGCTTTTTGGGGACATTGAAGACTCCTGTTCACTTTATGACTTCTGTTTCATTTTATGCTGTGGAAAACTCATAATTGTATGTCTTAGAAAGCATTTCAGTCTGATGTGAACAGATATACAGCAGGGTCACCAAATCCAACAAGGCATTAATAAAGGTAACCAAAATCTGTTATCCCCTTCTATTCAATTTCAAACTCTTTTCAAATTATAAATGTAAGTTAAAATGGGTTGGTTGTTCATGACAAACTCTTTATTATCAAGCTGCAGTTACCCTAATCCCCCCCCACATGTGCTGAAACCATAATAACAAAACGCACCTCATTAGCCATTCCACTCGCTTCACCTCATTGGTTGAGACGCAGCGCGTCACGTTTTAGCTCCGCCCCTTCGCGCTTCTTCTTGGGGTTGTCTGGGCAACCGAAAAAGACGCTTCAAGGCGCGTCGTGAACATCTAAGGGCTAATTTCATCTTTCTATTGTCTAAATCATACACATGCAGCGCGAAAAACACACGGTCATAACGGCAGTGCTGAGTGGAAGAGCTCTCAGGTAACGTTAAATTCCTTAAACAGTCGTTATTTGAAAGTTTTTTTTTTAAAGCGGCAGGCCTCGGTGAGGATTAGCTAACAGAGCTAGCGACAGATTTACTAACATTTAAAACGGATGTAAACAACAGTTACCATTACACTTAACCATTGACGCCGAAATAGCTTAAAATATCATCACAGTAGTTTCCCCAGCTTTAGAAATACATCTTATCTACAACTTTATCAGCGCAGCAAACCGTTAACTTTGAGGAGTCACAATTACATACAAATACCATGGCACTACCATGTTTTTTGATCATAGTTGCATGGTGATGGTTTTAGGCATTATGCTATGTTAAGTGCCGCGGATTATCATTTTAATACCACTGTATAATCATATAGTATTTATCAATGGTATCATCGTCTGACCCTCACTGTACCATCACAATAATTTCTGTTAATGTGTTATGTAAACCATATACAGAGTGATTTTTTTATATTGTAGCTGTCATATTTAGGTTCTCAATCAATATAGTCAGTGTTAGATTGCTGTTGTAAGATGTGCCTTATGATATTAACACATCATTATTTCTGTAGTTTTGTAGGTCATGGCTGTGTATTTTGATCATCGTGTCGAGGCCCCTGACAGTAGTGGAGCGGCGGTCCTGGTCTCATGGCATTCCAGTGTGTGTGTGCTGGCCGTGGGCTCTGTGAACGCCTCCGCCGGGGGCTGCGTGGATCTTTACCTGCAGCAGGTGAGAGAGGATTTGATTTTGTATGCAAGTTATACATTACTATACTTTTTTTTTACTTTTAGTCATTTAGCAGATGCTTTTATCCAAAGCGACTTACAAATAAGAAAAAGTAATTAAAACTAAAAGCTAAAACTCTATAAATACTATATATATATACACACATTTAAGAAAATTAAATAAATTAAATAAAAATGACAAATGCATACAACAACATTTCAAAACTAAAACATTTAAATGAAAAAAATAAAAAATAAAGCTAAAAGCAATTCAAAAATATTAAAAGAACAAAAAGGTATGAGTATAATAATGATTGTAACATAACACTAAGCCAAACACCAAAAAACAACTACATATGTGTATGTACAGCC